AAATTAGCAAGAGGAAATCTAAATAAAAAACTTAGTCCTGAATTTAAAGATCCATACGAGGTCAAGAAAAAATCTGGCAAAAACGTTTTATTAAAAATCCGTAACAAGGAAGTTACTTATCACAAAACCGTGTTCTGAGTAGTTGATCTAAAGAGAGAGAAATCCAAAATAATAATAATTTAATCCTTTTATTTTCCCATATAGCTAATCATCATTTATTTTATTATTAATCCATTTATTCTTTTCTATGTACCCTATATAAAATTCTTGTATTTTTCAGAACTTATGTCAATTTTGTTTCGAATTTCATGTCTCTTGATTTTATTCTTTTATCTTTACTCTTTATGTAACATTGTTCACTAACGAGTATTGCCTAGGAAAGGTTCTACTACTTGCAGCTATAAAGCTTAAAATGATGTTCCTGATAAGAAGCCAATGTGAAGAGATACAACAGTCTACCATACAGAAGACATAGCACCTACTACTACTCAAGGAGTTTCAACCTGGACGGAACCATTCAGAACCCGACATAGGAAGCTGTCAAATCCAAACAAGAGGAGAAAACAAATTCTTTTTCAAATAATTGTTTTCCGTCTTAAGGGGGGAGGTGTTATGATCCCGTACTCAATATTCACATTTTCAAATTTTTATAAACAAAAGACTGGCGACGAACTCGAATTGTTCTTCTTTAGAAGCGAAGCTTCTAAAGACTCCTTCTTTTATTTTATTTGCAAGTGTTTGCTAGTTCCCATTGTTGCTCGTTCGAAACAGTTGACTGACGAAAGACCAAAGTAATATAGGCAAGCTACACCGCTTGGCGTCGGTTCATTTGATTTTTAGTCTAGCTGTAATAAGTTCTTGTCTATTAATATTAGTTTTGTTAGTGATAGTTTTAAGTGCTTGTTCATTACTTACAAAATAAAGAACGAACCGAATATAACAATATATATATATTATAATACCCAGTAAATTAACTTTAACAAGTGTATAAATATATTTGTATATAAATATTAATTAACAAAATAAGTTTTTTATAAAAAAATACTTTTGATTATTAATAATAAAAGCCAAAGCGACATCACTTTATTATCTTATTCGGGTATTCCATAGGTTATTGTCGAGATTAATTTACTTTTTTGCATTTATTGCTTTAACTATATACTGAATTAATTTAATGAGGAATATTTTTACCTCTCGATTAAATTATGAGCCTGTAAAGTATGATTTTAAACATACATGATGAATGATGATTACATTAACTTTGAAATACTAATAACTCTAGTCATTTATTAGTTGTTAACATTAACAAAAAAATCAAAATTGTAAAAAATTACAGGGCTTGAGCAAATAATTATTATTATTATTATATAATTTTATTGGATACAAAATACTCAATAAATAAATAATTATCAATGTGATTGAAAAAATATAAAAATAAAATAAAAACATAATAAACAAATAACGATGATGATACAGTAAATTCAACTTTTTGTGTAATATAAAAAATATATCGAATAAATAATAAAAAGGTTAAAATGTATAAATTTTTTTTATACTGAACGATAATTGTTTTCTTTACCAAAAAAAAAAAAAAAAAAAAATTGTAAAACTTATTAATATATTTGAATAAATTAACTACTATCATTGCTTGTCTTTTTTAAAATTATCTTTTAAAAATAATATTTTTAAATAAATCTATCATATGTCATAAACCAATTTTTGATGGAGATTCGTTATTACCTTTGAGTAATAATTTAGGAGTTTCTAAAACATTTTTTAATATGTCCATAAATTCAGCAGCTTCATGTTCTTGTAAAGCTCTTCTATCATATGACAAACACATTGTCATTTGTTTTTCAACATTCATTTCGGCATTGAAAACTTCGGTTGAATTACCAACAGCTAATATACCACATTGAGGAGGATTAATTATGGCTGAAAATTGTGTGATGCCAAACATTCCCAAATTTGATATTCTAGAAAAAGACATTTTTTTTTTTATTAACTTAAAATAGAAAATGTTATCTTCTGTGAATTAACTTTGTTAACTTACGTAAATGTTCCACCTGTGTATTCTTCTGGTTTTAATTTACCAGTTTTAGCTTTGACAGCTAAATTTTTAATTTCCAATGAAATAGTTGACAAACTTTTTGAACTTGTCGATTTTATTATTGGAGTATATAAACCTCTATCAGTGGCAACAGCTACACAAACATCTACTGTATTAGATAATGTAACTGTGTCATTTGTGCAAGTTGCATTTGCTTTAGGATACAATTGAAGAGCAGTAGCAGTAGATTTTGTGATAAAATCATTAATTGATAATTTTATTCCTTCTTCTGCTAACATATCTTTTGTTTTTAATAAATCATTTATATTGCATGTAACTGTACAATATGAATGAGGGATTTCAGTCTTGGATTGTAATAAACGCTTTGCAATAACTTTTCTCATGTTGGTTAATTCCAGATCAACAAATTTAGGAGAAGTAGTTGGAGTACTTTGACTGGCTACCGCAGGTGTGGTAGGTTTTAATACTTGTGCAGAAGATTGAGAAGATTGTGCCACAGATTCTACTTTTGGTGGTTTTTTCTTTAAACTGTTTTCTTCAATAAACTTTAAAACATCCTCCTTTAACAAAATATTGTGTTTTCCAGACGGTTTTACTAAACCAGGATCTATTTGATAAGTTGTTAGCAAAGCTTTAACTGCTGGCCCATAACTCTTACTAAAAAAATTTATTAAATGTTTGTTAAGTGATGAAATTAAAAATTTTTTTTTTAAAATGAATATTAATAATCTTACATTCTAATATCTCCAGATTCTGGTGATAAAGGCTTAGTAGGTTGAGGTTTAGAAGCATCTGATTTTTCTCCAGGTATTTCCGATATTTGTTTCACATTCTTCCAATCTTCACCTTCAGCAACCATTAAAGCTATGACAGTTCCTACATTAATTTCTTTCGAGTCATCGTTCACTAATATTTTGGCCAATATTCCTTCCTCCTCAGTTTCCAAAGACATAACAGCTTTATCAGTTTGTATTTCACAAAGTACATCCCCTGCAGAAACTGTACTACCCTCACTTTTAAGCCATTTAACTATTATTCCTGATGTCATAGTTGGAGATAAAGATGGCATTTTTATGACGATTGGTTCAGGCCCATCATGTTTTAAATCATTTCCACCACTACTTTCTGATAATAATTAACAAAAATTAATAATCCAAATTTTATTTAACTAATGAAAAAAAAATTTTACTGACTTCTTACCATTGTTATCATTATCACTTAAACTACTAGATTTTACATCGACATTTTTCCAATCCTCTCCTACTGGAACCATTAATGCTATTAATGATCCCACTTTGATTTGACTAACATTTTCAGGAACTAAAATTTTTGCTAGAATACCCTCTTCTTCTGTTTCCATTGACACAACTGCTTTGTCTGTTTCAATATCACACAAAACATCTCCAGGATTAACAGTATCACCTTCTTTTTTCAACCATTTGACAATTTTACCCTCCATCATGGTGGGTGACAAAGAAGGCATTTTAATTTCATAACTTTCTCCTATCAGGAGAGAAAAAAAAAATATTAATAATAATTAAACAATTTTTATAAATGAAAAATTAAAAATAATTATTTTTAAAATGCAGACAAAATTAGTAAAAGGTCAAAAATTTAAATAATTATTGAAAACCCGTCGTTTATTTAAAAAAAAAAAAAAAAAATTTTAATTTATTTAATTATTCAATATCTCTTATCGATATCAATAGTTCAATATGAAATAATTTACAACAAGTCAAATTATGCTCACCATTTAAAAAACTTGAACAATGAAATAATAATCTTTGAGTCTTTTGAAAACTGATAACATTTTTACCGAAAACATTAATAAAATTAGTTAAGTGATTACATACAATATTTTTTAAGAAAACCATTTTTATGACCTTAATTTACGACGTTAAAGTCATTTTAGTTACTTTCGTTAAAATCTGTTGGCAATGCTAATTGAACGTATTTATATAAACCTATCGTTATAATTATCACATCTGTTTTTATTTATTATTTTTTTATTTTTACAAAAAAAAAAAAACTATTATTTAATTATAAATACGTTTAAAATGTTGAATTTGAGAGCATTGAACAAAACAATAAAAACGTTAATGGTTACATCTAAAAATAGAATTTTACTTAACAAATATTACACTTCAGATAGTTCATATATAATACCTGATAGTTTTATTCCACCTTATGAAGAAAAACAAGGTGAACCATTAGAACAAAAAAGAGCTAGGTTCGTGTAATTATTTCTGTTTAAAAAAAGAAATTATTTTGATGAAATAAAAATAAATTATGTTATATTTTGGCAGGTTAATGTATCAGTCGAGAAAAAGAGGAATGTTGGAAAATGATCTTGTTTTAAGTACATTCGCAGCTGAACATTTACATAAAATGACAGAAAATCAATTATCATTGTATGATAGACTAATAAATTTACCATCAAATGATTGGGATATTTATTATTGGGCAACTGGTGGTAAGCCAACACCTGAAGAATTTAATAATGAAGTTATGAATATGTTAAAAGAACATATTAAAAATAAAGATAAAGTTATGAGGATAAGACAACCGGATTTATACAGTACGAGGTAAAACAATACTTAACGATAAATTTAGTTTATTGGATATAATTTATTATTGAAGAAATTATTTTAACAAAAAGTAATTTTTTAAAAAAAAATCTTAAATAATGTTTGTAAATAAATTATAAATTAAAATATTTATCATTATTTTGTTAAATTGTAATATTTTACTTTTAAACATCCTATCCAACAATCGTTATTATTTTTTCATTTTGTCGAATAAAATTTTAAAATATAAATCCACACATGTTAAATAATAATATTATTATGATGTCATGATTACGTTAGATAATAATATAATGTGTGGGAAACACTTTAAATAATTTAAAATAAAATAAAAAATAATTTAAATAAAAAAAAAAAAATCATTTAAATATTTTTGAAACGTTTTTTGTATGATCCTTAACCCTGAAATGGAACGTTTTCATTGGTCGGCGGTCTTTGTGAGGTTCGTCCGTTATTCTGATAATAAATTAAGCCTAAAAAATAATCTTTTTTTTTTTTTTATTTTAAAGATTGTAGTCGATGGCAAATAACGAACAACAAAAAAAAAAATCAAAAATGAATTCTTTGGCACAGTTAAAAAAATTTACAACCGTTGTTGCCGATACGGGTGATTTTGAGGGTAATAATTATTTTATTTAATTTAACCTGATTTTGTTCGCATTTAATTTTTTTTTACCGGGTTCAATCCAATATCCGTTTAATCCAATTTTTTTGAAATTTTAATTTATTGCAATTTTAAGAAACTTAATTTTAAAAAAATTAATTATATAATTTTTTTTGTTTAGCCATGAAAAAATATAAACCTACGGATGCAACTACAAATCCTTCGTTGATATTAAATGCAGCAAATTCGGATAAATTTAAACATTTAATTGACGAAGCAATTTCTTATGCAAAAAAAGTTGACACGTAAGATTATAAAATAAATATATATATATAAATAAGTTTGACTTTTGGATCAAAGTTTAATTTTAGTCTATTTTTCCCCCCCCCCCAAATTAATTAATTAATCTTTTATTAAATAACTTCATGTCATGTCTTATCAGTGTTTTAATTACTGATTTTAAAACTTTTCGATTTCAATATTTAAGTTAAGTTTTAATTTTCAAATTGATTTGATTTAGAAAACTCATTAAATTATTTAATAATTATTAGCTCTGTAACATTCACTCATTCAAATTTTTTAATTAATTTTTTTTTTTTGATTTGTCACAGTGACTTAGAGAAACAAACTGAAGCTGCTGTCGATAAACTTTTGATTTTATTCGCTGTCGAAATTTTAAAAACTATTCCCGGAAGGGTTTCTCTGGAAGTTGATCCGAGGTTGTCATTTGATAAAGATAAAAGTATTGAAAAAGCTAAATCCCTTATTAAATTATGTTCTGCTCATAACATATCAAAAGAAAGAATTTTAATTAAACTTGCATCAACATGGGAAGGAATCGAAGCTGCTAAAGTACTTGAAAAAGATTATGGAATTCATTGCAATATGACATTGTTAATGTGTTTAGCTCAAGCTGTTGCTTGTGCCGAAGCCAATGTTACACTTATTTCTCCTTTTGTCGGAAGAATTCTGGATTGGTAAATTAAAAAAAGTTTTTTTATTTTGTTATTATTATTAATTCAATTTGATTATTATCTATAAATTTAAATTTATTTTAGGTATACTGCAAATGGTAATAAAACATATCAATCATTTGATGACCCAGGTGTAGTATCTGTCAGAACAATTTACAATTATTTCAAAAAGTTTGGATATAAAACTGTCGTGATGGGTGCATCATTTCGAAATGAGAATGAAATTAAAGAATTGGCTGGATGTGACTTGTTGACGATAAGTCCATCTTTGTTGGAAAAATTAGAAAATTCTAATGAGCCTGTTGAGAAAAAGCTTAGTGTTGAAAAAGGTAATAAAAATTAAAATTTTGATAATTTAAATGTACTAAACTGTGTAATAAAAGACATCAAACATGAATTTTTAAAATTATTTAAATGAAATTGTTATATTTATAATATTAATTTGTATGTAAAAATGTTTTTTAAAGCTAAAGAAATGGATATTAAAAAAATAAAAATGGATGAAGTTACATTCAGATGGTTATTAAATGAAGATGCGATGGCAACAGAAAAACTATCAGAAGGAATTCGAAGATTTGCTGTTGATTTTAGAAAATTAGAAGCTTTGGTACAAAATTTACTTAAGTAATTTTTTTTCAACATTTTTATATATGCTAAAAAGGTTATAATGCATTTAATTACCAGTAGTCATTTTTTTTTTATTATAAATATAGTTTTACATATATTTTTTTATACATTTATCTAATATACATTTAATAAAATAAAATTCGATTGATAAAGTGTTAATGAATTTGTACTTTTTTTGTAATAATTTTTATTATGTAAACCATAGTTTTGGTTATATATTTAAGTAGGCGATAAATAAATCCTTATATTAATAAGCAGCATATTATTCAAAACAATTGTTAATATTAAAATATAAAAAAAAAGTTAAGGAAAATTTATTTGCATTTAGTAAATAAGTTTTCAAAATTTTATGTACAAAAGCATTCTAGTTTAATTTTATCAGCATCAAATTGAATAAAATTACGAAATTATATTAAAATAAAGGTTACTTAAAATGCTATTAATAAAAAATAATTAAAAAACTTTGGATTAAATGAGTAAAACTTCAATATCAAATCCAATGTGAATCCTCCATTAAATATAAGAGATAATTCAGAAATCATTTGCTTTCGTCATTAAGAAAAAAGCAACAAGACTTTTGCCGTTATTTATAATTCGGTTTGATGCGAAAGCATAAAAATAGGAGGGAGAAAGGCAGGGACGCCATAACGTTAAAATTTATAATTTCTGAAATTACTTCACTTCGAGTTGAAATCGCGCCGGGTGAGGATATACAATGACTGAATTGTACCCTATTGGTACTTTATGCTGGTAAATATTTACTTTTGCCTTTTAATGCACAGTAGTTATTTTTAAATACGTAAAAAAATTTTAAAAATCATTTAAATAATACAAAATTAATTTGTTATAGGGCGAAAATGAAGGGATTTCCACCATGGCCTGGTAGGGTAAGTTGTAAATAAAGCTAACCAGTGTTTTGCCGCTCTTTAAAACCGTTGTATAATGCATATGTCAATTAAAACCACCGTTAGGTTTGTTTAGTTGGATTATTAAACAATTTTTTTCGTTTTTCCTTTGTACAATATTTATATCATCGATATGAATAATATTTATTGAAACTTTTGAACTTGAATATATAACGATTTACATCTTTATATCAATTTTATTTTCCCACCAAGTTTGGTTATGTGTACTTAAAGCTTTATTAAAACGTTCTGACGTTTTTAATACTTGTATGTGTTAACAACGCATTTATACGCATATAAATAACAGGCTCACAATTTTATATCGATAATTATTATTATTATATATTGAGATTAGTCAAAATTTGTTTATTGAATTATTCCATAAGAGGGTCATTGTCCCTTTTGTTTAACTATATTCCTATTTAATTTTTTTGTTTTATTTTAATTTCAGGTATCAAATCCTCCAGCGTCATTAAAAAAATCCACTGCCTCCAAAAAGGGAGCTTCTATTTACTGCATATATTTTTTCGGTTCAAATAATTAGTAAGCATATATAATTCATGTTTAAATTATCATTATCTCGTTATCATTCTTGTATTTCAAATGTAAAATGATTTGTGAAGTTTTTTTTCGAGTAACAAATTTCAATTTATTTTTATTTAATTTTTTTTTGTTTTCCAAGTGCATGGATTGAAGAATCTCAAATCAAACCATATGAAGCTTTTAAAGAACAATTTAGTAAAGCAGCAAAAACTACTCTCAAAGAAGCAATCGATGCCATTGAAGATTACATCAACAACAAAGGAGAGGTAATTAAAAACATTTTCGTTATCGAGTATAAGTTTATCGAAAAATTCTGCCATATCATATTGTCTCTCTCTCTCTCTCTCTCTCTTTTATTTAAATGTATGATGTGCTTTTTTTTCTCATTTATGAACAATTCAGAAAATATTTTTATTAAAATATTTATAAGAGGTAATTGTGTGATTAAAAATTTATCATGCGATCATGTGTGGGTATAAATTTTAAATATTAAAATATTATTTTTGTATTCCAAACAATCGTCGATATAAACTGGTATAACATAATAATAATAAGACTTGTTGTTATATGAAAATTGATTTAATTTGTTTTTTTTTTTTTTTTCCTCCTTTTTTTTTTTTTGTAGGACATTTTTGCAATTACGGATCCCGAAGCTGAATTTAACAAGTTGAAAGAATCCACAGTTGCTAATGAACAAAAAGATGAAAAGAAAAAAGAGAAAAAAGAAAATCAAACACCAAAGGAACCTAAAAAGACCAAAATTCCTAAGGTGAGTTGTTTTTTGTTTTTGTTGCTGTATCGAGAAGGAGTAAAAAAAAAAAAATTATTTCTTCATCATTTTGTTTTCTTACTCTCTCTCTCTCTCTCTCTCTCCAATCAAGTGCAACAAGTTCGCATCGGAAAATGTCGATCGCTGAATAATTTATAAGAAATCCCACGATTCGTATTATTAATACGCCATTTCAAATATTTATTTATTTTTTGTTTTCCCTACTTTTCCTGTATTACCTGTTGCCTTTTTGTTTTTTTTTTTTGATTATGGGAAAAAACAACTATTTGAAATCTTCCACCACCACCACCTCCTCCTCCTCCTCCTCTACTTTTTACTCCAGAATTCAAATCTTCGTCATCAAAAAAAAAAAAATTATCGAATTTCATTTTTTTTTAATTTCTCTCTCTCTCTCTCTCTCTTTCACACACACACATTCACTCTCAATCTTTTCATTCCCGACAGGATCCATTAATGAAAAAAAGAAAAGAAGGGCATTTGTCACATTCGACGGCCTTTAAAAAAGCCAGAAGAGAAAATGATGATTTACTCACAAACGATTCGAGTCTTCTTAATCATTCGAGCATAAGGAAAAGTTCCGGACCCGGATTATTACAAAGACCGTCAGCAAATTTTATGGTCGTAAGTAATATTCAATTATTTTTTTTTTTTTTTTACCATACAAATCATTTGATGATGATCATCATCATCATCGTTTTTCGATTTCGAATATGTATACATGTATTTATATATACGCGCGCGCACGCACGTGTGTGTGCGTGTGTGTAATTTAAAAGTATCGCAGAGTTTCGACCACGTGTGATTAAATGAAGATCGTTTATTTACATAAATCAAACGGAACTCGATTTCTTTTTTTTTTTTTCCTTTCTGACATTTGGCCAAACAAACGAAAAATTTAAAATAATTGGGGGAGGGGGAAATGGGGAAGGGGGGGAGAAAGAAAAGACGCATGCACGTGAGAGAAGCAACGGTTTTATTATCATTTTTTTTTATGAAGAAAATCACATACGCGAACGAAGTGATAATGATTGTAATGATAAGAAGAAAAACGCGGCGGGAATGTGTTTTTTTTTTTTTTTTTTCGATGGGGGTGGGTGAAAGGGATGAAAATATATATGTCAAAGTTCAAATTGATAACGCGATTAAATAAAAAAAATGGTTGATTTACAGAGTTCTCAGCAATTGGATTTGGAAAGCGTGTCTCAAACGCTCAAAGACAAAAACATTTTGCCATCGAAATTAAAATTTGGATTTTTGGGATTGGGAATAATGGGTTCTGGAATCGTCAAAAACCTTTTAAATTCGGGACACAAGGTCATTGTATGGAACAGAACGACGGATAAGGTAAGAGAAAATCATTTATTTATTTATTTAATCGCTCGTGCACATTTGCGTGTTCGTTCCTCTTTGGATTTGGTCTTTGTCGTTTTTTTGGCACACACTTTTTTTTTTCGTTTCCCCCCTCAGGATTTTTCTTTTTTTTTTTTTTTTTTTCGGAAAATTTATATTTGAGAGAGCGAGAAGGTAGAGTAGAAAATTTCCCGATTTAAAAATGTTGTACCGATTCGAAATGAATGACGAGGTTGAAGTTTTACGTACAAATAAACGTAAGATTTTCCCGTCTTGTCGTCGCCATTTTTCTTTTAACGAAACGAAACGGATTTAAAAATAATAATAATAATAATTATATAATAATTTGTGAGTTCGTAACTCCAATTTTTTTTTTTTTGCCGTCAATAATGAGCGGGATTCGTTGAGTATCGGATAAATTATATTCGTAATTAAATTTTCTTTGTGAGATGATACGGAGAAAAGGAAAGATGGAAAGAGAAAGAAAGAAAGAAAGAAAGTAATGGGAACCGAAAGAGAGATAGAGATAGAGAGAGATTTTTTTTTTTTTTTGATTTTCAAGTTGTTTTCAAGATGATTAAAGTTTTTTCTGTTTTCTGTTGTAAATATTATTTTTTATATTAGGCTGTCGGAAAGTTGAACTTGAATTTTTTTTTTGTTTTGATTTTTCTTTCCCCTTCCTTCGTCGTTTCTTATTTTTACCTTCCCCCCCCCCCTCCATTCGTTACGATGGCGAAATCATTTTCCAGTGATTTTATTTTTAAAGGTGTGTGTGTGTGTGTGTTATAACGATAACGAAAGGTTTCTTTTTTTGCTTGCCAGTTTTTTTTCTCCCCAATGAGGTTTAAGGGAAAAAAAAATCGTTTTGATTGCTGCCACGGTGAATAAACTTGGGAGGGAAGGGGGGCGTGGGAAATGGAAAATTTTTCGTTGTCGATCGTGTTTTATTTAACGCGCAATCATTTTTTTTTTTTTTTTTTTTTGTAACTGAAATGGTTTGTTTTTTTGTGTTAGGTTTTCTTCTATAAAAAATTCATGGTTATTTTTTAGTTTCAAAATGGTTTTAAATTTTTTGAAAAGCTTTTTTTTTTTTTTTACCGATATTTAAGTAATCTTTCGCTGGTTAATAATGCGAAACGCGTGTGCGTGTGTGTGTGTGTGTGTAAATTCCTGTCAAATTATATTCGATTACAATTTTCTTTTGGTCAATGATATCATCACAATTGCGGTTTTTTTTTTTTAATTGTTTTATACGAATCGGAAAAGAATTTTAAAAGATTATAATTGAAAGAGAGGAAGAAGGAAAAAAAAAGTGCATTCGACGGGATGAGAAAAATTTCCGGGGAGAAATATAAAAATCAAAAAAAAAAAATTTCAAATGTGTGCACTTCTTTCGTTTTGTTACGGTTCCAAAAGTATTTTTATTCGTTTATTAAAATAATTTGTAATTAACGAAGAATAAAATGGAGGAAAATTGTTTTTTGTTTTTTTTTTTGTTTTTCCCCAAAGAAAATCGGAAACGATCGCAAACGACGAGCTCGTTACGTACTGTTTTTTTTTTTCAACTGGTTTCGAGACTTTTTTCTGTAACAAGGCGTTCGGTTAACGTTCGAGTTAAAAAAAAAAAAAATTTTTTTTGTCGATTTCGAAGATTGTTTGAGAAAAATTGCGATTTTTAGGTTTGTAACTAACGTTTGTTTGTCGAAAGCTTTGTAATTTACACTCTCTTGGTAACCAACATCGAAGGACGTTGTTGTTGTTGTTGTTGTTGTTGTTGTTGTTGTTCTTCTTCTTTTTCTTCTTCTTCTTCGGTGATATGAAATCTTTAGGTTCCCCCCCCCGTTGATTATTTACATCGGGGAGGGGGGGTTTCATTAAATCGTCGTAAATTCGTTTCATTTTCTCCCTACTAATGCGCGCAGTTAAATAAAGTGTGCATAAACGATAATAATAATAATTGGTTTCGTATCGAAATCGATAGTTTATTAATATTCCTATCTTTTTTTTTTGTGAGAGAGAGAGAGAGAGAGAGAGAAAAATATTTTTAGTAAAATTGATTAATTACTTTCCTTCTTTCGTATTTTCTTGTCTGTTTTTTGTTTTTCCAAGAGTAAAACATGGCAAAAAAAAAAAAAAATGTAATGAGCGTCGATAATAAGAAAACTAAATATTATTGACACGCGGTTAAAAGTCGTTGAGTGTTACATTTAAAATAGGTTTTGTTATTAGGTATCTTTGTTTTTTTACTGTTAAACGTTTGCATTGTTACTTAACGCAAAAACAAGACAAAGAAAGATGTCGTTCAAAAAGGAAAGTAAACAATTTTTTGTTTCTTTGCAAAACGCGTGTGAGAAGAGGTCAGGTGGTGGTACAAGTCAGGTATTGAATATTACAAATGACGATTAGAAAAATTAAAATAGTAATAATAATAATAGTGAACAGAGTAGTTAAAATGGTTGCGAAGAAGGGAGGGAGGGAGGGAGGGGATACAGTGAGTGTGTGACCCCTTTTTAAAATTTCTATATTATATATTTAGATATAACGTTTCTTATCTCGCTACAGTCACACGTTATCACAGGATTTTTTTTTTCGGTTGTTGTTGTTGTTGTTCTCTTTTTTTTTTTTTTTTCTTTTTCAAAAACAAAATAATAATAATTAGAATAATAATAATAATAATTTGATCATTAATACTTTTTAAAATAAAATGAATACAAATAGTAAAAAAAAAAAAAAAAAAAAAAAATTGTATGAATGAATGAATGTTAAAAATTTTTTAGTTTCGATTTGAATAATGATGATGATGATGATGATGATTTTTTATTTATTTATTTTTTTTTTTTTCATAATTTTAAATTGGATTTGATTTTTGTTATTTAATCGACGTCGCGATCGGAATTATTAATATTATCATTATCATCTCCTCCGCCGTTAAAAACTCTATTGTTTAATATTTGCTGATTCGTATCCGATTTCTCGGCGGCGTTGGATTTCCCTTCTCTCGACGAATCTTTTCCCGTGGTTTCGTCATCATCATCATCTTCTCTCCGACCGGATGATGGAATGAATATTGTACAATCGGGCAAATTGAGCGCATCTTCGCCGCCGTCGCCACCGCCGACGGCGTCGACGACGACGACGTTATCACTGGATTTAACCACCATTGGGGAATAATAGGGAGACTTCAACGGTTCCGCCGAATCTTTCGATTTGTTTTTAAACGTTTTACACTCGTCTTTTCCCCTCAGTTTGGCTCTGATCATTTGCATGCTTTTGCCTTTGCTCTGGGAAGACGGTTTTTTGAGAAATTTTTCCATTTCGTACGACAGCGTTTCCGGCGGGATTTGCTTTTCACTGTTTGCGACTCCCGATTTTTTCCCAATGATGGACTCCACGTTTTGTAAATACCTAGCAGGAGAATTTCTGGGACTTTGGGGTTCTGACGTATCCGTCGGAGTGTAGTAAAGAGACACGTGACTTTGCGTATCGTCGTTTGTATTGCTTTCGGCGGAGGGGCTCGTCGTTTGTTTTACGGTTTTGTTGTTGCCGTACGACGTGAAATCCGTTTCCGATTCGAAATACATGCTGTCGGCTCTTGCGCACGATCCCGTTCTGCAATTGTCCACGTACAAACTGGGAAGATTTTCGAGTAGTTTGTTGAGAGTTTGTTGTTGATATTTATACGATTCGCGCAATCTTAAAACTTGATGCGAACTAAATTTTCTTATTCGGTTTCTTTGAAACACGTAATTTTCCCGCACCCAATTCAGTTGACCGTTGGAGTAATCTTTCACTCTTTTCACCTAAAAACATTTCGTGGAATTTCCAAAAAAAAAAAAAAGGAAAGAAATCGCTTTACATTTTGCGTACGTAATAAATAATAATTTTACTATGAGTTATGTACCTGGTCGTAATATTGATCTCTCAGTGCCGTCAATTGATTGGTTCCGTAAACTCTTATGTCTTTGAGATGTTTTACTTGTCCTTGATAACTATCACGTATCCATTCGAGCTGCTGAGCACAATTATCTTTGATTCGGTGCACCTGAAAATATTATTTAAAAAAAAAATCCCCTTTCGTTAATTTACATTTGGAAAATGAAAGAATTTTATTTATTTATTCCTTCTTCTCGTCTGAAAGAATTTTGAAAAACTTTGTTCAATACCTGCTGGGTGTAATTTTCTCTGAGTCTTTCCAATTGTTGTTTCTTGTAATTTTCAACGTTATCTAACATTTGATATATTTGTTTTGCTCTGGGTGAATTCTCACGGCGGCAACACTCGCACCAACATTGAGTCCTTGACAATATTAGAAAAAACAAAAAAAAAAAAAAACAAAAAAAGAATAAATAAATGACGTTTTATATATTTTTTTTAAATAAATATTTGAAAGGTATATTATTATTATTATTATCGGTGTTTTATAAGTATCGACAAACTAACATTTAAATAATTTAATCTCGTTTTTTTTTTTTTTAAAGTTTGAAAACGATTATAAAAGTTGTTGTTATTATTATTATTAAAACAAAAAGTCTAGATAATGCATGTTGCATAAATTATTTGTTTAAGATTAAATAATCAGTTATTGGTTAAAGTTCATAAGTGAAAATTATTAATTACTTACTTCCTCAACAAATAACGCAAAAGCTGTATGAAAAGTGTGAAGGCTAGGAAACAAGTCGCGGACAAAGCTCCGAAAAAGAGTCCGTTTATGTTGATGTCGTAAATGAAAATGGGATCTATGTGAAGCGTGACGTGAGCGGTGACGTTTGAAACGGGATTGGACGCGAGACACGTGTAAATCCCGGCATCCTCACGGAGAACGTCCAATATGTGAAGGGTTCCATTGTCTAGAATTTCCAAACGGGATTTCGAAGAGGTCTCGACGATTTTCGATAGGTCGCTGTGATGAGCCGGGTAATGATCGGAAAACAAGCTGGGAATCGAGGGATCCAAATTGTAATGATAGACGTCCAAGTTGGGCGTCACCCAAGTTATCGACGGATGCGGGGATCCTTTGAAATTACAATCCAAATAAGCATCCGAACGAAGTTTGTATTTTCTCGTTTCGGTTTTATTGATGAGAACGGGGGGTTGACAGTTGAGAGACCGGAGAGTCTGAATCAAATTCGTGGGCACGGATATGCCGTCGTGACGACACGTGAACGAACTCACATCCAAATCGTGCGGATGATTTTCGACGTAGGAATTAAACCAGAGCATTCGACAGTCGCAAATCAACGGATTCGGCATGAGGAAGAGACTCGATAAATTTTTCAAATTCGACAGGGATTCGGAAAGGGAGGAAATGTTACAGTTCGACATGGAAAGATTTCGAAGGTTCGGAGTCGAATCGAAAACGTATCTTCCCAAATTTTTGAAACGTTTGTTATCGTTCATTGTCAATACTTTCAATTCGTTCAAACCGAACAAATCGAAATCCGACAAATGCGATAAACTCGTGTTGGACAAGAGTAATATTTCCAAATCGTGACAATTTTCCAATTGTTTTCCCGTCATCGCTTCCAGGGGATTGTTGTTCAAATTCAAAATTTTCAAATTGTACAGGTTTTTAAAGGGATTTCCGGTCAGCGTGACAATTTTATTTCCGCTCAAATTTAAACTAGTCAAACTCGTTAATTTGTTAAAAACGTTTCGAGTGATTTCGTTTAAATTATTGTTCGACAAATCCAAAACTTCGAGTCGTTTCAAATCGTTGAACGTATTGATTTGCAATTTTTGTATTTGATTGTCGTTCAACCGTAAAATTTTCAAATTCGGCGTGAACGTGAAAAAATCATTTTGTATCGTTATTATTCTATTATCGGACATGTCTATCGAGCTCATGTTTTCCTTGAGGGGTGCCAACATTCCGAAGGGTAACATTTGCAATTGATTGTTCGACAGGATGAGAACGCGGAGAGAATTCAAATTGTCGAGTCCGTCCGCGGGAAAATCCTTGAGATTGTTGTGGGACAAGTTGAGACTTTGCAGGTTCGCCAGGTTTTTGAACGTTGAATTTTCAAGCTCTTGAATTTCATTTTTTGATATGTCTAAAACGAGTAATTTGCGATTGTTGTCGAACGTGTCGCCCTCCAAGTGTTCCATGTCGCTTTCCGTCCATTTGAAAACTTTCAAGTTTTCGAAATCGCGAAGGGATGGCGACGGTGACGGTGACGACGACGACGACGACGATTTTGATTTTTTTTTCATCAAAACGTTTCTCATGGATATGTCTGTTAAATTTTTTCGAAGGAAGGGTTTGATGTCGTCGTAGTACGTTTCCTGGCAGAAAATGCTCGCGACCGTCGAACACTCGCAATTCATCGGACAAAAATTGTACGTGACGTGTCTTTTATTACGCAATTGAGCATTTTTTATGGCGATCGACAAACGATTTCTATTATTATTATTATTGTCATTGGATGCTAAATAATTGTTTCTTAACGCGGCCAAATTTCGAATTTCATTATTATTATTATTATTATTATTAATATTATTGTGTTCGATTAAATTATGAGTACTAGTGACGATTGATGATGATGATGATCCGTCGTGAAGATCTTGAGGAACGTAACAAGACACTTGGAGTATAAGTACCATTAATAAGCTCAATATAATGTATTGAGGGCATTTAGAATTTAAATCCCTCAGGAAAATGGTAAAAAAATCACTTTTCAATTTGTTTTTAAATCTCATTTTTTTTTTTTTTTTTTTTTCAAAAAAGAAAAACTTTTAACTTTTTTTCCGAATCATTCTTTATTTATTTATTTATTTATTTATATACGTATGTAGCTTCGAAATCACATTCTGAAAATAGAAAGAAAAAAAAAAAAAACTGAAATCTGTACAAAAATCGACAATAATCGTGTTTGCGAGTATGGAATTTCCCCCCCCCCCCAGTCTAACTCTACAGGATACCTTTTTCGATCGATTTCTCTCTTGAGCCAATCGAATTTTTAATCAGGTTCGCACTTGTTTTCATTCCCTTACACTCGACGACAATGCAAATGCAAATCTTCACTTGTTGTACTAAGTGCAAACGGGAAAATAAAAACGGAAATCGGATTTTAATACTTTGTCTCTCTCTCTCTCTCTCTCTCTCTCTCTCTCTCTCTCTCTCTCTCTCTCAAATGGTTATTTAATGATTCTTTCCCTTTTAAGTTTTGCAATTGAAAAAAAAAATACACGCGCACGCACACACACACACACACACACCTGGTAAATAATTGCCAACGTATCACTCCATACTTGTTGTTCTTGTTATCGTTGACTTAAGATAAAAAGTGAGAATATTCGATTGCGTTTTATTATTATTATTATTATTATTATTATTATTATTATTATTATTATTATTATTATTATTATTATTATTATCATTGTTATTATTATTATTATCATTCGTTTTTGTTTCGTTCACTTCGAGATTTCATAATAAAATCTTAATGTAATTGACGTTAAATAGGAATCATCCCATCACCAAACACCCAACACTTTGACGACCCCCACCACCACCACTTCCACTAAATACCATCAAAGAGTTTCGAGAGTGAATAAATAAATAAGAGATGATGATAATAATAATAATTTTTTTTATTCGGCTCATCTGCCAACACGCATACGTGTGTGCAAACGTACAACAAACAAACAAACAAACAACATTTATTAATTTTGTGCAATTCATTTATTATGAAATGGTAGAGATTTTAATTTTAATTTAATTTTAATTTTTTTTTTTGCAATATTTTATTTAATTAAAAAAAAAAATTTTTACGCGTGTTTTTGCTAAATATTCAAGCTCGAGTTCATTTTATTAAAAAATTAACGTAACGCCGTCGGTTTTAATTTTTATTACGTAATAAAAAAAAAATGGCGGATGAGATTTATACGTTTCGTTGCCTCCCTTTGTTTTGTTTACTTGCATTTTGGGAAGAGAAAAACACGCGCGAGTTGAATGTTATTTATTTACGAATTGGATGCAAAAGGTTTTATTTGTTTTTATGGGGGGGGGGGCAAAAAGAGGAATGGAATTTAAAAATATTGGGTGGGGAGTTGGGGGAGGGAGGAGGGGGCTACGGGAAAAACCAACCGAACCGTTGTCATCACTATGAGCTAATCAAAAGATTTTCTATCGAAAGTTTTTTTCGTGCGTGTGCGTGTGTATGTTCCGGGTCGAATATTTTTTTTTTTTTTTTTTCAAATGGAGCAAAAATAACTTCCTCTTGTTTAAATTTAGAAAATTTTTTTGTTTTTTTTGGCGTTTTGTTTTTGAGTTTCATTTTTCTTTGGGGGGGGGGGAAATCAAAAAATTCCATCGTCGCTCTAAACGCTCTCGTTAAAAAAAAATTTTAAATTATCGTTTGTCGTATTTCGCGATAATGTCGGGGAAAAAATACAAAAAAAAAGTATATATCATCGCGTACGGTTTGTAGAGGGGGAGGGGAGGAGAGAGGGGAAACGCGAACGAATATTTAAAAAAAAAAACTTTGTTTAGATTTTAATCGTTTAGCAAAAAAATCTCGTCAACGTTCCCACAAAAAAAAAAAAAAAAAAACGTGAACAACAAACGAAGGAGCAACGTTGAATCGAAATAAAGTAAAAAAAAAAAAATGATGATGATAATAATAATAAGGAACGTTTGCCCTTTTCAAAAAAAAATCCTTTGGGGAATTCATTTTGTGTGCACACAATGATGGCATTTTGTATTTTTTGTATTTTTTTTTTCGATTGGGGTTAAAGAAGGGGGGAGAAAAAAAAAAAGTGGCAGGAGAAATTTGGCGCGTATAACCTTTTTTGTGTGATGCACATCATCATCATCATCATCTGCTTGAGATTCGTTCAAAAAAAAAAAAAAAAACATATTTTTCTCATACGAGGTTTTGTTGTTTGTGTTGCACCTGTGCGAGTTTTTTTTTATATTAAGCCTCTCTCTCTATCTCTCTCTCTCACATTCGTTCAAACCAAAAGCCAACGTTTTTTTTTTTTTGAGGAAAATTTCTCGTTGAAAATTTTCCTCTCTTTTGATGTTGAGGTGGGGGCGTCGCAACTTGTAAACTTTTATAAAATTTCGAGCGTGGGTGAGCCCCCTCGCTTTATACTACACTCGAATCTTTTTATTTTTCCTTTTGTAAATTTGGCAAAAAATTATTTTAAAAAAAATTCTCAAACGATTTTTAAACGATGGTAATTGAAACAAAAAAAAAAAAAACATTGTAAATGTCGCCGAACATTTCTCACGTTGACACACGCACACGCACTCGCACGCACGCACGCACTCACACGCGTTCAAAAAATTAACGAAATGAAAAACAAAACAAAATCATTTTGCGAAATAATTTTTCACGGACTTTTCCTATATAGCTACGTTTAACTTTTGTTTTGAAATAATAATAATAATAATAGTAATAATAATAATAATGGTAATAAAAAGCGACGACATCCGTGATTTGAATGAAAGCTCGATTACAGAATTTCCATTTTAAAATATCCTGTTTTACGACAAAAAAAAACAAAAAGGAAAAAGAATAAATAATAATAATAATATTGTAATGTAACGTAGACCTCGTTTCGTTAAAAAAAATTCGGTTGTTTGTTTTTTTTTTTTTTAATATTATAAATTCAGAATACGAAATTTTATTTTTTAATGTGAAATTTTTGTTGTTTGTTGTTTGTTGTTGTTGTTGTTGTGTAACGAAAAATGGCGGTGATGAAAAAGTTGTGCTTGACCGTCCGTAAATTTTTTTTTTTTTTTAATTATTTGGTCGAATTTTCACTTCGTTTAAAGTATGCGAAAGTTTTCTCTCCCTCTCTCTCTCTCTCTCTCTCTCTCTTCTCGGTTTTTTTTTGTGTATGTGTGTGTGTAAATGCGAGGGCGAAATCGTAAGGGGGTGGAAAAATAACGTGAAAACATGTTTCCCGCAAAAAAAAAAAGGATAATACACGGATCGAACTTCTTGCGGATTTCTTGCTTGCTCATTCCCTCTTGTTTTTTACCAGAAAAACTTTTTTTTTCTTCAGATTTTACGTAACGCATGTTTCTCTCTCTCTCTCTCTCTCTCTCTCTCTCTCTCTCTCTCTCTGTCTCTCTCTTTTGCACACGTACGTATTATTATTTAAATGAATTTACGCAACCTGCAAACGGGTGGGGAGGGGGAGGATCTATCTACCTTAGCTAGCTAGGTTTTGCTTATTTTTTTTTTTTTCTTATTTATTTATTGCGAGAATAGCATTTTTCCCTTTCTGTCTCTCTCTCTCTCTCTTTGAATAACCGTTTAAATAATCTGATGATGATGATGATAATAATTGGTTAAGGGTAGTAAACCTTCTCGAATCTCTCTCATTCTTAAATAAATTACAACACTAGAAAAACTTTTCCCCCCAAACGGTTAATATTTTATTTTTAATTTTTTTTTTGTTTTTTGGGCTTCGCCGATGGGGAGATTAAAAGAAAAGTTACGTTTCGAACGAGGGAGGGAGGGAGGGGGGAGGCCGGGATCGTGAAAAGTTGAGGAAAATCGATAATAATAATAAAAAACAAAGAAAGGAAAGGTGGAAAAAGTGAAAGAAATTTCTTTGTGTCCTTTTTTTTTTTTTAAATACACCGTCCCTTTTATTACAATTTTAATAAAGTGAAAACCTTCAAGTTATTTTATTTAAAAAGGGGGCGCGGAGAGCGGTGGGCGGGAAAAGGTTATAATAAAAGAAAGAAAAGGAACACCTGCAGAAAAAGGTGTTTTTTTTTTTTTTTTTTTTTTAACTGTATTGACGACATTGTTGTCGAGTTAGCAGAAAAAAATAAATAAATAATAAAGACAAAGAGAGAGAGAGAGTGTGTCAGAGTGCCATAAACGTTGTAAAACATAATCGAAATTGGGTTCGCGTACCAAAAAGTTTTTTTTTTTTTTAACTAAAACACGAACAACCACATATACAACCGTTTGTATCGAGTCAAACAAACACCACATTTGATTGATTTGCATTTAGGGAGGGAGGGAAAAACAGAAAACATAAAAAAGAACACGAACGAATTCATAATCGAAAATGTGAGTGGAAATGAATGCGTGTGAGTGCGTATACGTGTACAAACGTATGTGGATTATATATACGTCATGTGGTTTGGTTGTTTTCGAACTCATTATCGACAACGGTTTTTATTATTATTATTATTCTCGATCGTTTGCGTTCGGTCAAATCGAAATAAAACAAACGAACAAACGAATGAAAATTATTATTATTAAATGGAAGCAATTTTTTTTTTTTTTTTTTTTAACCGTTTAATACCGTCGCCATTACGAGTGTGAGTGCCTTAAAAACCTTACACGCATAAATGCATTTACTACCCATTTAGGTTGAGGTCTGATATTTCCAAAATGGTCGTCCCCCCCCCCCCGTTATGAGAGAGAGAGAGAGAGAAAACGTGCGGTTGCCACGTTAAGAGCGAGCAAAAAAAAAAAAAAAAAAAAAAAGGAAAAATTCAACGTTTGATAAAAATAATCATGGTTAATTGATTTCGTTTCGAAAACTCTGGGTTCAAAGTTCAAAACCGATTATTATTATTATTATTATTAACATTATTGGCTTAATAATGAGTTCGTTCGTATGAGTGTGGATGTGTGTGCGTGCGTATGCGTATGCGTATTTACGTTCGAATGGCAACAGAAGCGTAATTCCGTTCGTTTTTATTTTAAAAAAATACAAAACAGGAAACCGTTCGATCACATGATCACGATGATGATGATGATGGAAACGTTTTTTTTTTTTTTGCTTTATTTCCTTGATTGTGTTTGTTAGTGTTTTGTGTTTGTGACCTTCGTTTAAAATATCACATTTATATCTATTTCACCGAAACTTGTGTGACACTTTTTGTTTCCCCTCCCCTTCTTGTGTGTGTGTGTGTGTGACGCCATTATTATTATTATTATTATTTATTTTAATGTTGTAACTAACCCCCCCGAAACCAAAGGACCATACTCGCAAACGGTTTTTCGCCGATTGATGTGATATTTAAAATAAATAATAAAAAAAAATAGAAAATTAATAATAATGATAATGATAATGATAATTTTTAATTACAATCCGTAATTTTAAAAAAATAATAATAATAATAATTATTATTTATTTATTTATAATTTAAAATGTGTTGTCGTGTCTGTTGGCGGTTGGTTGGTTGGTTGGTTGGTGTCACTGTCGTTTTTTTTTTTTTTTCTTTTTTTTTTCTTTATTTCTCCTAATGCACGTTTACGATTAACGAAATAATAATAATGATGATGATGATGATAATAATAATAAATAAACTTTCTATTTAAATAAAAAAAATGAAATTGAGAGTCAGTCTCGATGAAAACGACTCGTGTGCAATTGAATTGATTTGTAAAATGATTTTTGCCCCGAAAAATATTTGCCAATATAAAAAACAATATGGTCGAATTTTTTTTTTTTTTTTTTTTTTTTACGAAAGCATTATCATTATCATTATTATTACTACTACAACTAATACTACTACCACTACTTGCATATAAAAAATAAAAAAAAGAAAAAAAAGAAAAAAACAAAAATTCAACTCACTTTTTTTTTTTTTTTTTTTATATCCACTGATGCAATGAAAAATTCATTTTTTATATATTAAAAATATTTTTTTATATTAAAAAAAAATTATATATATTAATAAACATGTAATAATAACGTTTAAAAAAAAAAATGAAACGAAACAACTATATTCTTCTTCTTCTCTTACATGTGTTTTAATTTCGGATGAGAAAAATTATAGAAAAAAAAAAAAAAAAAGAAAAAAAAACATACGAAAGCGATTTTTTCTTTTTTTTTTTTCCACTCCTCTCTATTTAATCCATAAAATGGCCGCTTACTAGACGTGTCTCGGTTTGTGTTTCCGTGAACCGACGACGTACGAGATATTAGAATGCGTGCCAATGAGCGACATCTATCGTTTTAAAATCGTACCAAACTGAATTCAAAATGGCGGCGGCGATTTTTTTTTTTTAATTTCTAAAAATTATGCGTTCACGCGTTAACCTTCAACTCTTGTCGTCGTTGTTATTATTGTTGTTGTTGTTGTTGATTTAACACATTTTGTTTGTTCATGGCGAACACATTTTCCGTTTTGGGTCGATGGCGTCTTCCCCGTCCGTCTACACGTAATAATTAACGAATATAAGAGAGAAAATGAAAAACCGAATGAAATCAATCGATTTACACGATTTTAAATTCTATGAAAATAATAATAATAATTTCTTTTTTGTGCGTGCGTGCGTGCGTGAAACCAACAATGGCGTCGCGCAATCAAATAATAATAATAATAATAATAATCGAGGCAATATATTAACGGGGTTTACGTTATTAACGAAAATTCCGGCGACGCTTCTTTTTTTCTCTCTCTCTCTCTCTCTCTCTCATTCCGCCATAACTTTAAATGAATAAAAGCGCTGCCAAGCGGTAAAAAATTGAATTAAATTTTTTATTTGAATCGGAAAATTAAAATTAAAATGTTTAACGATGGCTGGCGATGTTTAGAAAAAAAATTTTCAGTCACGCGATTATTTTTTTCTTTTTTTTTTTTTTTTTTTTATCGTGCGTTAATTTTCGATCGTAAATTAATTTCATGTTTAAATTAAACACGAATATAATAACCTCATTATTATTATTATTATTATTATTATTTTTTATTACTTGTATTGATGACGTCACAAAATTAAACAAGTTGAAATTGCTATGACGCCTACTTACCTACCAATAATAATAATAATAATAATAAAGAGAAGGTCGAAACGAAAATGTTTTTTTTTTTTTTTTAATGTTGGTCACAAGGATTTCTTGCGTTAAATTTTTTTTTTTTTTTTTTAAATTTAACTGGTCGAAGGTCTTGGAGGAGAGAAAGAAAAACCGGTTTAAAAATTTCTTTTACCTTGTCGTTTTTCTTTTTTTGGCATTTTCGCGATGTGGCAGCAAAAGAAAAAGGAAAGAAAGGACGGAAGGGAGGGAAAGAGAGAGAGAGAGGGGGGAAATGATGGAATGAACGTTGGAAAATGAATTCGAATCTTAAAGGTTTCCCCCGCCCCGCCCCGCCCCCGTTCGTAGAACGAAACGAAGCAGAGGCAGTCAGCCGACCCTGCGCCCCCTGCGCAAAACGAATTCGAAACGTTCAGTGTCGGATTGCGCAGAAATCAAATTTAAAAACCTTACGGATCGATTTCTATGAAGATTTTCGTTATTATTATTATTATTATTATTATTTCGTGCCGATGTTTTTTTTTTGGGGGGAGGGGAAATTTCTTACTTGAAGTTTAGTATACGAAAAAGGAAATGATTGGGCCTCCCCGAAGATGGCAACCCTCACGCACACACACGCACGTCTTTCGGGTACAAGGCAATAAAAAATTTTTTTGCTTTTCTTCTTCTGCTTTTTTTTTTTTTAAGGTACACTCACAGGCACGCGTGCATTCACGCACGTTGAATACACAAAGTTATCGATGATTTAATTTAATTTGTTTGTTTGTTTGTTTGTTTGTTTGCAGTGTGACAAATTTGTGGCTGCTGGTGCCGAATTGGGCATGACTCCTTCCGACGTGATTGCAAGTGCTGATATAACATTCTCCTGCGTTGCCGATCCACAAGCTGCCAAAGATGTAGGTTTTTTTTTTTTCCGTTATGACAATGGGTAGTCAAATGCTACCTGCCCCCCCCCCTACTTATTTTTTTCTCTCTTTTCAAATAATAATAATAAGTTTTCGTTGTTTGATAAAATTTTCAGATGGTTTTCGGTAATTGCGGCGTTCTCTCGGAAAATCTTACGGATAAGGGATACGTTGAAATGACCGGAATCGATCCGGAAACATCGCAGGACATAGCAGAATCAATCACCGGAAAAGGAGGAAGATATTTGGAAGCTCAGGTTAGGGAGGGAGAGAGGGGGAGTATGCTAAAAAAATAGGAAAGGGGAAAAATTCTCATGCCGTCGGTTTTTTTCATATTGCAGATTCAAGGCAGTCGAACTCAAGCCGAAGAAGGAACGTTAATAATTTTGGCTGCCGGAGACAGATCATTGTTCGACGAATGTCAGAGTTGTTTCGAAGCCATGGGAAAAAATTCATTTTATCTCGGAGAGGTGAAAACGAAATAAATTAAATTCCCTTAACTCTTAAAATCCATATGTGTATCTCTCTCTCTCTCTCTCTCTCTCTCTCTGAGAGTCATCGATTTGAAAAATGTTTTTTTTTTCAGGTTGGTAACGCTTCCAGAATGAACCTCGTTTTGCAAATGATGAACGGAGTCGCTTTGGCGGGCCTCGCCGAAGGATTGGCATTGGCCGACAGAGCCGGATTGCAACAGAAAGACGTCATGGAAGTGTTAGAGTTGACTCACCTTGCCTGTCCAATGTTGGTCGACAAAGGAAAAGGTATCTCTCTCTCTCTCTCTCTTTCTTCCTTTTCTAAAGGTTTGACACGAGGAATAAATTGTGTTCGTGACGCTTTCATTATTATTATTTTTTCCAGCAATAATCGAAGGTGGTTTTCCTACGCATTTAGCATTGACGCACATGCAAAAGGATTTAAGGTTATCGTTGTCGATGGGTGACAGATTAGAGCAACCCCTACCTCTTTCAGCCTCTGCCAATGAAATATTCAAACATGCAAAACGTTTAGGTTATTCAGAGCACGACGTGTCAGCAGTGTACATCAGAGCTAGATTTTAAATCGTAATTAGATACATATATCTACATATATATGTATATTACAATAATAACTTTTTACCCACTTTTATTTTTATTATTATTATTATTATTATTAATTTTTTTTTTTTAAAAAAAGATTTTAGTTAGAAATATTTAAATGTGCGTGCGTGCGTGCATACGTACGCATGTTTATATGTAATTTGTATGGATGTGGTATGTGGTACCGTGCGTAAACCCGTGTCGAACGTGGAAAAATTGATTGACGGCTGGCTAAGAGGGGAGGACATTTTTGCAGGAGGGGTTGGTAGGAGGGAAGGAAGGAAAGAAAGGTTAATCTAAATGGTCAGAAATGAATTTTTTTTTTTTTTTTTTTTTTTTTTTTTCACGCGTGAACGATGCGTTCGACTTGGGTTTACCGAAACGTCGGAAACAAAAAAGGAAAAAAGGAAAAAAAAGGAAAAAATTAAAGTGCAACAATTGAATTTGAATTTGAAATTTTAAATTTAATTGAGGAAAAAAAATCATTTCGAAACGTGTGACAAAAAAAAATTAATAATAATAATAATAATAATGATGATGATGATGATGATGATGATGATGATGATGATAATTAATAGTAATAGTAATAACGATACCCGGTGCAATATTTGCAAAAAAAAAAAAAAAAAAAAAAAAAGGTAGAGAGAGAAATAATTTTTGACGCACTAGAGCAATGTTAAATTATTATTATTATTATTATTATTATTATTATTATTATTATTACTGCTATTACTATTACTGCCGTTACTAGTACCCCTAATTTCTTTTATTTTTTTTAATTATTTTACAAATGCCGTTTTATCATTATTATTATTATTATTATTATTATTATTAATTGTAAATTTATAAAATTGATAATTTTTGCATTTTATTATTCCAGTTTAGATCGATCGATTGTCATCATCACTCGTAATTTTACTTATATTACAATACAATATGACAGAGTGCAGAGATTTTAAAAAAAAAGATTTAATATTATTATTATTATTATTATTATTATTACTGTTGAATTATGCTGCTGTATTGTCGTCGTCGTCGTCGTTAGTTTTATTATTATTATTATTACTATTACCGTTACTATTATTATTATCGTTTGTATGTTTTTAATGAAAACAGGACAGTTTAAAAGTCGGATCATTTTCTGTTTTTTTTTGTTTTTTTTTTTTTGTTTTTAGTTTATGAATTTCATTGCATTTAAATATTATTTAATAATTAATTTGTCAAAGTCGATGATGATGATGATGATGATGATAGATAATAATAATAATACTATCAATTTTTAATTAATTTTAATTGCTGTTAAAAAAAAATTATTTTAAAAAATCCGACGGATAATTTTTTTTTTTTTTTTTTTTTTCGATAAGGTTGTTGGGACGTTCGCACGAACGAACGTTCGCGATTATCAAATGATGAAATAGTAGTCGAGTAGTCTTTTATTATTATTATTATAATATCATTATTGTTATTATTATTAATTAATTATTTGAAATTGATTAATAAATTAATAAGAAAAAGAGAAAAAAAAAAACACGTTCGACATTAACGACTAATCACAATTTAAATCATTTATAGATAAATTATTATTATTATTATTTTTTTTTTTCGGGGAGGGGGGCGGGGAATTCAGTTTTAAATTTTAATTAATAATAATAATAATAATAATAATAATAATAG